CCTTCAGGTTACCTGCAGGCACCTGAACAGCTCCAACACAACTAGCTTTCAACATTTTCACCTCAAGTTTGAAAGCAACAAGTCCCATAAAATACCTCCATCGTGCAGGGATGGTCCTCATCTGCCAGTGAATTCTCACACCCATGCCATCCAGTGAGGAAACAGGCCACTCCAACGTAAGGTGAGAGGGTTAGAAAAGCTATTTCATTGACCATGTATTTCCCAGGAAAGCTTATGTAAAAGCTATGGAGGAACTAAATTCCTTGTTACGCTGAGAAGCACATCACCATGTCTCGGGCAGGAGCTCTCCCCAGGATGTGTGAAACAGATGATTCAACCATTTCAAATTCCTTGTATTAGTCACGTGACTGCAACACATGCCCTCTCTTCTAACAACAACAGGTACCTTTCACAATCCAAATGAACAGCATATGTACCGTGTATTACCTACAGAGCCATGGCTCAGCCCCAGTGTGCTGTCACAGCGCGACCTTTCGGTTTCACTCGCTTGCAGTCATCCTGGACTTCCCAATAACCGTGTTTACCCTCCCTCCCACAGCACGCAGAGCCTTTGCTGCTCTCTCAGGCCATCCGTGTATCTCAGATTGAGTGAAGTGCTACCTTAGGAGACAATGCATACACAGCACACCACAGGTGCAATGTCAGAACTTCATGATTTACTGTGGTGAACAGCTCATTGCTCGAGGGGGAGGCTCCCTGATCACCCCTCACGGGGACCCCTCCAGAAATCCACCATCTCTATCAAGGGGGAATATAACAGGGCTATAAAACTGTGCAACAGGATAGATGGGCTGTGCATCACTCACGCGACTAACTTCAGGCATACAGAATCATCTCCCATTTTCCTAAGGGTGGCTTTTAGTCCACATACTGCTGTGACCCACATCTCACTTTGTCACACCTGTCAGATCACTGTTAAAAACATGTCTTACTTAATCTCACAACACAAAATACGGCTGGTAATAATGAAAATGCTAAGAATTCCAGTAAAAAGGCACGTAGATGCCCCCACAAAAGAACAGCCAAGTCAAGCACAGGGATCCTACTACTTAGAAATTCTTACCAGGGATTACTTGTTTTCAAACTTTCTTGTTAGTATATGTTAGAGTGCTGGAATTTAGACACATTCACATGTGACTGTGTAGGCAACGTTAATACAGAGGAAAAATATACAGAAACTTCAAGCATAAAAAAGAAACACATGGAACATAAGCATTAGTTGGCTTTTGGTTATATGCCTTCAATGTCTATCTGCTTGGGAAAACAACAGAAATCTTTCAGCTCACTTTTCAGCGAAATATAGGCTGACTTTTGAGCCTGGTTAAAATAATTCATCTTGAAAAATACGTGATGAAACATATTGGCATTTTGTTGTCTAACCATGTGAATCATAATTCTGTTTCCAGCCCTGTAACCGCTGAAGAGCAAATTCTAATTTCTCAGTTGAATTTGTATGTTTTGTTAAGTGTAATCAAGAAAATATTATCAATATCACTAGGACAGGGTTATAGCAATTTCTCTCCAAAACAAAACCAACATCCAATACATTAAAAAAAAAAAAACCAAACAATTACCCCATGCTTAAGTTTTAATCTCCTATTTTTGTAGGTATCTTTTTGCTAACATTGATCTCCTTCAATATGTTCCATCAGCCATTTCAGAATCACTGAAATTAGGGACAGAACAGGAATTGATGTGCGCAATACTGACTTGGACTCATCAAGGCACATTCAGACAAGGCCATTTTCAATATTTAAGTGTCTCAACATCCTAGATAACAAATGAAAAAGCGAGAAATGTAAATCCCTGGTAGATTCTGCACTGACTGCACTGAAAGTCTAGGTACATATGAATACCTTTAAAATGACAGGTTCATTGATTGCAGTATTGGATCTTTCTAATTTCCAGGTGCTGTCCCTCAATCCATGCTGTGATCTTTTGTTTGTGCATTATGCGTAACAACACACACACAAACATTTCAGATTCCCAAGGGGACACCACAGAGAAGCTTCATCCTGCAGGTGTGTGGGAATAAAGCTAGAGTGAAGAAGCAAAACATTATGATTTCTTACCATGTGGTACTTGTTCCTGGCCATGTAACCTCTTAAGAGAGCCTGAAGAGCAATAGTAGCAGCTCGCATGCATTGGTATCTTTTGCGGACCACATACATGCGCTGGAACTTCTGAATAGTGATGGCAGCCCGTGTTCTCCGCAGGAACTTGGCATAGCTAAGCAAGAAAAAAGATTATAAATAATACCTGTAATTATTTTCCAGTGCTTGAATACTATTTTTTTTTACATCCTATAACTTCACCGTCTTTGTACTTCAGTTTCTCCCTAATGTTGTCAGTGATACAGCATATTTACTTGCTATTTTATCGTATGGCAGTACAACAGAATGACAAATTACAGAAAACTTGGAAGGTTTTAGGGGGAAATGTTTTCACTTCCTCTGAGAAATGTACTATAGAACTGACAAGATAAACTCAGCTTAATTTCTCATCACCTTTTCTCCAGCTTTAAAGCTACGTCCACTAAGCCACCTTCCAGATCTCCCGTCCTAATCTCAACGTGTAGAAAATGTTTGTGTGTTCTTGGCCTTTCAGCAAGATAATTACAAATCATCTTGACATAAGCCTCTTTCCAAAGGCTGATTCTTACAGTGTTCATGAACATCTTGTCTTTGAACAATACCACCTGCACTCCTACCCTTTTCTCTGGCCCATCCCTGGCCAGCCCTAAGAAGTCAATCCAAACAAATGACTCTGACTGACGTATCTTCCTTCACAGCTGCACCTGGGATGAGGAATGGCTTCTCCAGCAGGACAGACAGACCCAGCTGGGTGGGCACATGGAAACTGGGCAATAAGGACTCAGCCAAGAGTCCTGCTTTACCTCACCTGCAACATACCTCCTAGTATTATTTGTACTCTGCTCCCACTAACAACATACTTTTCTAAGCATCATACAGCCAGGGTGCTACTGTCCTCTCAGGACGGTCAAAACCAGGCAGGACAAACACACTCATTACCATTACATTCAGTTTCCTTCTTTTCCCTGGAAAACCATTTCCTCTCAGCCAGTACAGGAAGGAGAGAACAAATGTATCACATTTAAATGTCCTACTTAAAGGGATCTGAATTGAGGCTAGTGTGGGTTTTCCCACGAGCATTGCTTACCATCGTGCCTGGTACCCTCTGACATATCTCTGAATGGTGATGGCAGCCTTCCTCATACGCATGTACTTCTTTCGCATCAGCCAGCCTCGGATCGTCTTTTGGATGCGGATACAGGCAGCTCTCAGCTTATCTGCCCTTATTTTTTCCAGATAGGCTACTTGACCAGCCCGGAAAAATATTTTTGTCTTACCAAACTGGTACTTATCCTTGTCCTATTTTCAGAGGTAAAAAGACGATCAGTTACAGCATTAAATGTTAGTGGATAAAAACAGCATGAAGGGCTAAATGAAAGCACAGTTAATAAAGAGGCAAAATTATCTGTGTAAGATTTCAAGTAAACCTAGACTGAAATTAAGTAGTGGAGGAAAGTATTCTTTCTGTATGATTCTGTTAACAAATTAATACAGTAAGGCCACAAGCATGGCCTAAAGGAGTAACGTAGGATTTTTGCTTAGACAATAATGCCACAAAGATTAGAAGAGCTGTGGAGGGCTACAGGAGGTGACGAAGGGGCCCAGAGGATGAAAGCAATACAGGCAATGCACACGTACAATTTCCCGCTTAAATTGTAGATGACCCCTCTAAATGGTACATCGTCAACCACATTACACAGTACGAACAAAACAGCTGGGTCTTCAAACATGTACACATTGGCTGCTGCATCAGGACTAAGCCAGAACAAAGCATCTCACTGCTGCTCGAACACATTTGGAAGTTCAGAACTAAACCAGAAAGAGAACATTCTCTCTCTGTAGCGTGTAGTACTCCTTAGAGGGAAAAACTCTGAGAATATACAAAGGTACATCAAAAAACATTAATTTTGTTGGTCGTTTGATGTTAAGTTAAAAGGAACAGCAGTCAAAGACCTACCGCTTAGGATACTTTAACACTGTACATTAACACTATAAATACAGACACACGCATATAAACCAAAAGATTTTAATTAAGTCCAGCCAACGACGCAAGATTTAAAAAGCCGAGCCCCAACCTGCCTGCACAGTATTTCTTTTTTTGTTTCCATAAACATTCTAACATTGGCATTGCACTTCAGCAAGGTAAGCTTTCTTGGTTTTGTATCTTCAGTAAACTTTGTCTCTTTCTCTTCCTAACTGACACTTCTGAGGAAGTCTCAACTAACCACCTTTGGCTGCAACTGCCTCTTTGGACCCTGCCTGCCCTCCGCTGTTCATCAGTCCTTAAGAAATCCCAAGAAACACACCAGTTCAGGTGCAACGCCAGTGGCGTGGATTGCATAGCCTGGGGATGTAGGGCTGCAACTGGAGGCAGGAGGGATAGCAAGAGGCTGCTGAGGTACAAGGACAGCCACAGTGCTAAGCAGGGAGACAATGTCACAAGGACAAAAGGAGTGAAAAATGTTGACTTCGAGAAAAGCAGTGTGAAAGGCACAACACACACACAGACAGAAATACTTCCACATTAGAAAACCTTCAGATAACTATACCTTACTTAAGGCGTGGTTAATGCATGTTGCTGTTAAGCAAGGTAAGGCCCAACCTCAACCCATCCACACTTAAAATCACTGTCTTCCTTTCCTGTGACACACTGGGAAATTCTACAGTTCCTGTGCTAACATTGGCGGTTTTGTACTTTGTAGAAGTACTAAAACAGCATGGCTATGAGGGAGTAAGGGATGCTATCTTTACTCCTTCAGATTCCAAATGCTTTCAGCACTAAGTATAGTACCAGAATCAGCTTCTCCAGGACATTTTTACACGTCTGCTTTCGGTCACTAAGAACATCCCTCTGCTTCATCAGAACACGGTAACGGCTGAAGAACTCTTGGTACGTCCACCTGTCCCAAAAACAGAGACAGTGTCATTCCTGACAATGAATAATTCTCTTAAAAGGAAGAACTGTGGCTGAAAGCAACCTAAAGAGCGGCAAACACACCTGGAGGGGAAGCCAGCTGCACTGATTCGGATGGTCTCCAGGACACCACAAGCTCTCAGCTGCTGCACTGCCCGCTTTTCATCGAATCTACATAGGAATAAAAAGAGCCTGTGGGTGTCGGGCTAGTTTTGCCTTCCATGGGAGCTCTGGCCCTGCGCACAGCCCGGACACGAGTGGCACAGACGGGGAGCAGGGGTGGGCTGTGATGGGTGGTTAACAAGTCCAGCTAATGCTTCTGCAACTCAGCACAACAGAGGACAGCCCGACTGGGAAATTGCCCGAGGCCAGCTGTTGCTGCAAGCTGCTTGTCCTGTCCTGCTTCCCACTGGCCTGCCCAATAGCCACAGGAGTCCCTGTGTGCCTGGATTTTAAGCAGACTTTTGCGAAAATTTCTAAGCAAGTTCATATAAGAAGAAGAGGTAAGGAGTAAGACATTGGAATCTGCAAAAGCGAATTCCAGCAAATGTCAAATGAACCCAAGGAGTGCAAACTGCCAGTCACATTTAAAACAGCTAACAATGAAAACACTGGTATTTTTTCTCATACACACACACACAAAAAGCATCAGGAAGTACTTCTCCCTCTGTTCATCCCTGCTCTAAGTACACATACACACGCACGACAAGTCCATAACAAGAGAAGGAAGACACACCATTCCTGAGGGAGCAAGGTTTAGCAGAACCTCGACCCTCCGAGGCCTTGGGCAATTCCCTCCCATGCACAGGCTCTGTGAACCACACATGAACCGGCTTACGTGAACGGGAACTTGAAGTCGTTAGGCTTAATACAGCGCACGTAGTGTGGAGTTGTAGCATTCAGGGTTTCCATCAGCAGATGAAGAGAGTTTCGAAACTTTTTAAAAAAAGAAAAAGAGGAAAATACAGGGAATAGCCTCAATATGCTCAGTCATGTTTGAGATAACCTCAGGAAGAGGACCTAGGGATATTTGCTTATTTGTAATAATGCTTTCAGTAAAAAACACTGTCTTGTTTTTGTTATGGAAATAGATTTTCATTTCAGATAGCATCTTTGGGTGAATTATGTTACAGTGAGACTTCTACACGTTAGGCTTTACAGAAGTAAATCTCCCGTATCAGCATGTGATAAATTACAAAAACATGGGTTAGATTGAGTTATTTTCAGCTTTTGACTGTCTCATCTACCCTAATCTTTGTCTAATCCATCTCTTCATGACTAAACCTCATGGCACATTACTAAATAGCCATTTAATTTTAAATAAATTTTAAATCAAATTTAAAATCAACAGAGTGGTAAAGACAAAAAAGTATCCATTTCTTTAGCTCCACTGATCCCACTGTCAGACCTGCTGAAGAGAAGATTAAAAGTCCAATATCACAGAGTTTTAGGAGCTTTACTCTTAAAGAAGTATCAGGACTGCAGACACCTAATGTACTGCAGTGTAACTTAACCACAGAATACCCTAACAGATGAAAATGAAAACACTCTTATATGTTTAAAACATATTCATATGGATTCCCTCTTTCTGTCGAACTCACAATTCCAAGCCAACATTTCTAAACAGAATATGAAAAAAATCACTTTTGCATTAGCTTTCTTCAAAATTTATAAATTAATAGACATGGTAGATTGACAGGAGTAGTATGAGAGTACCCCTAACACTTCAACTCATTGTTTCAGTCTCACAACAAAACTGTTAGGCCTGTACCAGCCTCAGGATACTGACTGTTTGCAAAATCAGAAAAGTTCAAGTAAAGGTAAGTGGGCAGAGGTTCTCTCTTAGACTGGAATTTGCCATGAACACATGCCCAGCAGATTTGCATTCTGTACAGCAGCATGAATAGCCACTCCTATTCCCACCCATAGCTTGACATAGCTGGCCTGGGGAAGATCATAGGGAAATTATGAATATCCAAATCAAACATTCCCTGATTCTCACTGAGCAGTGCGACCAGCTCAGACACTGCACAGACACTGTGCTAACATCATTGTTAGGGGACTGACAACCAGCCAAGGCCGTGGACAAAGCCCAGGCATTTTGGGTGATTTTATCAGAACTCGGAGCACCCGGGAGATGTGGCTGGTTAACCTTCAAGAATTGGCAGGGGACCCTGATACAAAGAACTTATACTCTCTGAAAGCTAATTTATATTCCAGGCTGTCCTACAGTAACATAGAAAGAGCTATCCACACAGATCTCCTGGAAGCCCCAGGCAAAAGAAGAATGCCACTACTCACTAGCAAAGTAGTACAGGCTGGCAAGTAGATAAAAACTGAGTACTAAACTGTCAAAAAAGTTCCCCTTGGCTCCTATGTACAGTCCAATGGACAATCTGTTGTATATAAAGCACTGACTGGGGATATAACTATCTTGAGAAAACACCTGTTAAATCTGTTGAGTGGAAAGTAACAAAGAAGTGAGTTCTCCAGCCACACTGATCTGCATAGTTTTAATTTAATTCTGGCACATACACAAGGCTGTTTTATGTTTAGCCCCTTGATAACAAACCAAGTTTTCTAGAGACTGAACTCCCACTTTTGGTTTGAGTCAGACAACATGGTACATGATCAAAAAGACCCAGTATAAGATTTCCAAAGCTTCTCAGCAACCAGCATGTTAAATCTATTTTGAAAAATGTGAGTTTTGGTTTTGGCAGCACAACAAGAACTGAGGTCCCTGAAACTGTGACCCAAAATGTATCAGTAATTAGGGTATATTTGCTCCAAACTGTAAGTCATAATCAGCTGCACCTGCCTCAAAATCATAAGGGATCTCAAGAAGCACCAGCACACCTTGAGACTACGAGACAGAGGGAGGTAGAGATTATTTAATAGAGCTGCATCTTCAAACTCACCTGATGTCCCACCGTTTTCTTATGCTCCTTGCTGGCTTGACCTGGCCTGGCCTTGGCTGGTTTTACAGCCATTCGAGACAAAGGCACGCGCCCTGAAGGAGTTGCTGATGTGGGACTGAGGACCTTCTCCTCGTCCTGGAATAACTCTGGTAGCAGCTTAAACTGGTATAAGAGCAGAAAAAAATACAGAGGGTAAGAATCCAGCAAGGGATTGCACCTGTTTGTGCTTAAGGTAATTAAAACCCAGGCTCAGTTTTTGTAAGCTCTGGAGCTTCATTGAATTTCACATTGGGACAAATGCAAAAAAGCACTCAAGCTAGTAGTATAGTGAGTAGGCCACGATTCAATACTAAAAATTTTGTGGGTTTGATCAGTGAGTCTCCTTCTGAAGATCAAATTCTGATTTGAGGGTTTTTTTTTCCACAGAGCCAGCAATAGCTTCCATGTGAAACTGTTAGATACTGACAGCAGTTTCGTAAGTATCAATTGCAATTATATATGGCTGCTTTGATCTAAGAAGGAAACAATAGAGTCCTCTCATATTCCAGCAGTGCATCAGACTCCTTTGTGGTTGAGAAATATCTAGGACACAGAATAACCCAGCAGGCAACAAAGAATATTGCTGCTTTATCACCCTAAATTGAAATAATCAACTTAGAAGAGGAACCATCAACTAAGAAAATCAATCAGCCAAATTTATCTGACTGAAGATCTACTCTCAGGCCAGGGGGAGTGGAGGAAAAACCTGAAACACCTTTCCAAATATTATACAGGTCTTCCAGTTCCCTTTTTCCAATGGCTACAAAATACACCCATATATAATAGCTGCTTTGAAGTAATTTATAACTAAAAATAACACCACTGGGTGTTTCTACTGACAACTATAGCACTTCAGAAGCATTGTAAGAGTAAGAAAATCTGAACTTCTCTACCTGTCAATGAATAATCTTTTATCTAGCATCTGTGCATTTTCTCCCAAGAGATAGGAGCATTCAATTTTCAGTGCTAGAAAGTGCTTGGGCTAAGTACAACCTAAAAAATAAAAAAATTGGTTTTGCCTTATAAAACTTGGTGAGCATGCACGAAATCCAATGAAACATGCTGCGCAACAAAATGGTACTTGTGCTCTGTGGTTGTGCCAGATGGGCTAGCAGAAGGCATCAAACGCTCCTCGGTAGCATCCAGCACAGCACTCCAGCATAATATAACGCCTATGAATGCTACAAAGGCACCCTAAACTCCTGAACTAAAAAAGGAGTATCACAGCTTAGCTTTATCTCAGCTGAGTCTGCCGGATTAGGAGCACCATCACCTTAGATCAGCTCTGTAGCTGGTGGAAGAATGGCATTTCCAGAGGGTGATTTAGCCAGTCTCCTTCCACCGACTCAACAAAGAGTTCAGGGTGACTGGGCCACCACCACCTCATTCAGCTCCCCGTGGTGAGATGGAGTGAATCGCTGTGCACAGGCATCTGAGCTACAGAGCCACATCTTTTCATCCCATACAGAAATGTATGCTTTGCCTGAAACTCCTGATGCTCTCACAGACCAGGGGTGGGGTGGGAGGGGAGTCCCCAGTGTCCCGACTGCAGATGGATGATCTCTTCTAAGCTATCAGTATTTAACTCTCATTGCCTTTTCCCAACCCTGGAAGAATCTGCCTGTAAAAATTGGCAAGTGCATTTCAAAGGCACCATTTTCATAGACACTGCCCCAGTGACGGCATGCAAAAGAAAGGAGCAACCTATGGCCTTCTGCAGCAGAGGTCAACAACAGGAGAGCATTGCTGAGATGATCCACACTGTGAGGGCATTTGTGCTGTTATTTGGTTTTGGTTTTTAGTATCTCTTCAATTTTCTTTGTTTCGCAGAACACTATGAGTGTTCAAAGAGAGGGAAAACACTGATCAAAGGGCAGATAATTCACGTGGTAGAAAACAAGCAAGCAAGCAAGCATTTTTTCCCTGTAATTTTTTCAGACGACTTAACAGACATGCTGCTAACAATCTTACACATCATTTCTTACAATACAAAGCCACAACAGAAGATTTTAACAGCATGCCAATAGCAACCATAAAAGCTGAGGACTGTTGCATTGCTTTCATGATACATGCATGGAAACTGAACTAGTTCAGAGGTCCTGTAGGTGGATTCACAGAGAAGGCCAAAATAAATAGCTAAACACTACAGTGCCTGCCAAAAGCAGTGTGTGTCATGCACTCTGGAAAGCAAAGACGCATTTGAGCTGTATGTGACAGTAGGCATGGGTGGGATGACAGATGATGCATTCAATTTAGAATTACCTTCTGTTGAATGTGCACAGCAAACCCAGAAAACAGCGATAACAACAACAACAAAAAATCAGAAACACACTACAATTACTAATATAGTAAAGAGGGCCTGCTGGAAAACAATTTTTAAAAAATAGTCTTCTTTTGAAAACCTATTTTCTTCATAGTTGATTTTTTTTAAAAAAAAAAGGTTTTGGTAAAATTCAACATTGGGGAAAACCGTGTTGTTTCTTAGTGTTTAGACTGAACTAACACGACCTACTGAGCCTGCCCAAGCTGCTGTTATGCTCTTCTGGCAGCTGTGTCCCCGCCGTCCCTTACTCACTGGACTACACCCCTCGGAGAACCCCTGTACCTCCACCCTGCATAGCGCATGCCCCGCCACAGCAAAGCCAGAACTATGCAGGCGGCTGGTCCCTGCCAGCTCCCCGCCCGCTCCCCGAGGATGCCACCTGCCTCCCGCACACACAGTGACTGACTTCACTCAAACCACTTCAACACTTCTCTCAGTGGAAAGTCTGCAGTGATTTTTCATTATACTACAGGTTTTAATCATTTAGCTTCATATATCTGCTCAGAACAGAAACAGAAGAGAATAATGTTGGTTTTCCTGATAGCATAATTTTAAATAGCCTGTCCTTGATTCCCAGCTTCCGGGGCCATTAGAGCTAGCAAATTTCCAACAGCCATCACAGTGCAATGTCAAGTTAATTGCCTTTACCTTTCAGAAGAGAACAACTATCATTTTTACCATTAAAAAAAGCAGACAATGCCACTGAAGGCCTGTTCTATAATATTCCTCCACGCAGTATCTCTCAATTCAGATGTTATCTTTCTTTCATAGATCTCAAGATGGCAAGACTCCATAAATTGTGGTTTGTGTTCTTAGGGTCTATACATTTAATTTCTCTCTCATTTTGCTTCTGGAGCAGAACTTGTCTGTCCTCCAGAAATTTTCTGCTCAACTGTCAGGCCATAAACAACACGGAGTTTCTGTTTTCAGATAACAAAATAAGGGCTTAAGCCTTCTTATACTACTATAGTATATTAGAAGTTCTTGATGCCTTTACAGAAAACATAGCAAAGTTTTGTGAAAAGTAAAAAAATAAACCAAACACAAACCAAACCAAACCAAAAAAAAAAAACAACAACCAAACAAACAAAACCCAAAAACCCCAAAACAGTGAAATCAGTGGTTAAACATAGACTGATCTTACATGTAGCAAAATTAGGCTACAGGAATTTCTAAATTCATACAGATAGCCAAGGAAAACACAAACTATGTTCCATTTCAGTTGATCTGATACTAAGGGAGAAATATTTCCTAGCCTTGTAAGAAATTTTATATGACCCTTAATTCAAGGATTCATAACTGCAACAGAAGCAAAAATAAAATCCTTATACTAACCTTACTTGATTTTAGGACCTTAATTTGTTCTTCATAAACTGTGTCTTTATTCTTTTCCAAAAAGCCTTCACATTGATATTCCACCTGAAAACCATTTTTTAAAAAAGTATTAAAATATTTAATAAGAATATTTTGTATAGAAATCACCAACTGTAACAGTCATACTTAAAACACAGAATTCTTGTTGAAAATACCAGCCCCCCAGTGCATCTTTGTTAAATATAGATTTTCCTCAAAGAGAGTGCTTTCTAGTAAAACGTAAAACATTAAAACATATAGATGAACACTGTTACTGTGTTATCCCAGATATATTTCACTGCTGAGAGATGCCTGTGGTGAGATAGCATGATTGAAAGGTTACAGTCAAGATGAAGAATCACAACGTGTGTCACGCATCTCCTTCACTGAAGTTATCAGGGATGCAAAATTGTGTGAAATCCAGATGCAGCTGAGAACAAAGTATCTCATCTCATCAGCTGAGAGGCAATAAGGCCTGCAGCTTACAAAAAATGCCTCATTTGTACTCAGAAAGACTATTTTTACCAGAAGCAATAAAAAGTCTGAACGTTGTGACAATAGATAACAACAAGACACAATGGAGTGTCCTGGACCAAAGAACAGCCAGAGCATCAGATGAAAACCTAGTATTTATCACACTGTCCTAAATTCAAGGCTGAAAACCCAAAAGCTATTGTCAAAAGCCTATACCTTAGAACTCAATATTAAATAATGTAAGTATGCTAACTCTAATGAAGTGTCTTATGGTCACTCTTCAATCTTCTATCAGCAGAAGTGCAGACTATAAAATACCAGAGCAGACCCTTAGAGCAATTTTGCTCTTTCAGAGCAGACAGATTGAGGGCCAGCAGCAGCCCTTCTTTCAGTAGAGCCATTTATGAGTGCTTAGATGAATACACTACACCTCGAGCTGCAAAACATTTAAAAAAAACTCCTAGGGGGGGAGAAGGCAGAGGATCTCCTCGAGGTCTGTCCAGAGCCGAAAGCCACTACCTCGGGTACCATTCATGTCTTACTGCGGGAGACAATGCCAGGAGAGGGCAGCAGAATCTCTGCCTTCTCCCAGAGAAGACAACGCCAAGACACAGAGGTTACTAACCTGCCAGCTATAGCTTTATTTTTTCCAAGATGTCTGTATGCATTCATGTAAGCACACAGGAGAGCATAAAATGCTTAGCACAGAGAGCGCATCCGAGCCTAGAGCTTTGCCAACACCTGCTTGGAACTACCAAGCTTTCCTTGGCACTCACTGCTCAGACTAGGCACAGGAAAGCCTTGTTTTCAAATATCAAAGTTTGGCCTAGTGAACAGTATATGAAATACTAATTAAAACCTTCTTGCTCTCTCACCCCCCAAATAAAACAGAACTCATGAATCTAAACAGTTACAGAGATGTTCTTGCTGCTTTCATTAAGGTAACACTAGATGTAACAGGAACAGGACCATTCTATGCATAAATTCAAAAACCTGGGAGAAATCAAGTGGAGGCAAATAAAGGCCTCCAACCACCCATGTCAGCATGTACAGACCTACTGGTAAGAATCCCAGAGCTCCTCCAAACTTTTTTTGACAAAGCTGACAATGTTCTGAGGCAGCTTCTTTGTTTACCAGGACAATAAGCTTAAATAGGATCTTAAAGTTTTTTATTTTATTTTAACCTGAGGATTTGCTCAGTTTGATGATGCACTGTGGGAGCTGAACAGTGCCTGCACTCCACTGAGCCACCCCTCATCCAGCTTCCTAGAGATGGCTGCTCACTGGCCAGCAGAGGCAAGGGTGCGAGCAGTACAGGCTGCTCCAGCAATGCCAAAAGAAGGGTGTGTTGGCCTCTTTCCTGTTTGCAGATGAAGATCGCAGCAAAACCAACATCATTTGCTCTTTAACTACAACTACAGGGAGACACATGATTTTCTGTTTTGTGTATTTCTATAGCACAACAGGAATTGATACAATTATGCTGTGAATTGCAAATACAGTAAGCTGACATGTTTTGAAAAAGGATGGTTAGTGGTTACAGCATGTGACAGGAGTCAGTAGCTCTTGTTTGTGTTCCTGGCTCTGCACAGCTGAAGGTCAACTTTCTTCTCCTGATCGGGTGTACGGGCGGGCACACATTTTGCAAGAAGCCAAGTAGAGCCTGGGATGCCGCTGCACAATTCCTGCCCACCCCAGCCGCCCACCCCAGGACCCTTCCCCACGCATGTGCTCAGCAACACCAGCCCAAAAGGAGGTACTGGAGGAAAAGTCCTTACCTTGTCAGCAAAGTGCTTGATGATAAAAGCCTTATTTGACAAACGTGGTTTTTCAAAGAGGGCACATTTATTCAAATGAGTATTATATAGTTTTTGGGCCCAAGTGTCATCTGAGCCTTTTGGCATCTACGGAAGAGAGCACACAGCCATTTAAAACGTCTTGAAAACTTTTCAGTAGCAAAAGAAACTCAGACGACAGGGGACAGCACTTTGTGGTTTACTTTCAAACTCCAACTCCTCAGATTTCCAGCACTGCCATTAGCAAGGAAGCCGGTAACCAGCTATGCACTTGCCTTCCCAACACACTGGGTGCAGCCCAGCAGCAGCTGTAGCTGCTCTGTGACCCACACAACGCTAGTAACACTTTCAGTGTCACACTCCTGAAGGCAAGTTATCTGACTGAGCAGCACCTCAGCGGGTCAGAACTCCTCCACCACAGTTAGCAATTGCTTGTAAGGCTTTGTGATATGCAAGAACCCCAAGCTGGGTTTCCACTGAAGCAGACACCACACACCATACCTTGTACATGGCTTGGCATAGATTAAACTAAAAGGTGAGACACCAAGTGAGAGGCAATTTGGAGAAATCTGACAGAACCAAAAAGACTGCACTTGCTGCACTCAGGAAAGAGAAAGTTGCCAGAATCAAAACAAAGGTTGATCGGAGACCCAGAAACAGATACAGACACATGATGGAGAGGAGGGAAAAAGAGCATGACTAAAACAAATTTTTCTCCTCCTGTAATTGCCAATTCTGTTTGTACATTCTCCAAATCCTTTCAACAGCAGAGTGTCAAAATGATGGCTGTAGGCAGATGCCTTTTCCCTGCGAGGCCCCAGCAGCAGGACAGCTGACAACCTCTTTCTTCATGAAAGCCCTTGAACACACACCTTGCACTCCTCATCCAACAGATCCAGAATTCCCATTTTGGCCTCTATGAGGTTTATGCAAGGCTGATTGTCGTAGAAATCAATCAAGGTCCATGGTATTTGTTCCTTCATATATTCTTCTTGTTCCAGCTTAAAGACATGCTACAGGGCAAAAAGAAAACAGTTTTCTGTAAAATAAAATGCAGAATAAATACATTGAACTCTCACTTGAATTCATCTTGGCACATTAATCCAGGCTGTCAAGTGACACACTAGTTCAACTGAAGTTGAAGTTTAACTTGAACTTAAGTTGAAGTTAAACTTGAAGTTTAACAAGTCAGTGTATGAAAAATAAATTAACCTTTTTTCCTGGCCTAAAAACAACAGATCAAATTAAAGTGCTCGTCCACAGCAAATAAGGTCTACTTTTTCCTATCTTTTTACTATATTGTCCCACAATTACCATAAGCTCTTTTATCTTACTAAAAAAACAACACGAAACCCAGAAATAGCCTCAAGTGCAGGAACAGTAACTTATAAAGTGGGATGTGCCATGCATTTATGATTTTAAGTTATGAATACTGCTCTATTTCAAGTAAAATTTCACTATAAATACTTCTGTTTCCTTGTAAAAGAACAGAGCTCCATTTTCTCTTAAATGGCTGCTGATTTTTTTCTAAGATGACGCATTGCATTAAAATATACTCTTCAGCAAAACCCTGCAAGAATGACTCTAGGACTATTGGCACAAGAAATCCTTTAAGCAAAATTTTGTGGAAGACTTATCTGGTAAAAAGATCAGTAAAACAATGTAGTTGTATATTTATTCAAAAATATTATCACAAAAAACCTGCACAGCTTTAATGAAATGTGCATAGGAGATGAATTAAAACTTCAGGGAAAAAAGACAGTAAGATATTAAACAGGAAAAATGTGGTCTTAATAGCACAAGCACTCTTTTTAAAAACAAAGAGATCGCTGACTCCAGTTATTTTAAATGACATTTTAACTCCCACTTACATTTTAACACACACTAACTGCTCTGGCAGGCAGAACTGAACTCAGAGCACACCCTACCAAGCAGCAAAGAGCAGCGCTGTGGGCAGGGTTTGGGGGGCTGCCGCAAACACCAGCACTCGTGGAGCCGGCCTCAGCTGCCCCCGAGCTCAGTGCCCAAGCCCACAAACGCCTCGCAGCTCTCTGGCACGCCTCTGCCAGACAGCAGAAAACTACCCTGATAAAGGAGTGCATCCCTTTTATTTCACTAGATTAACGCCATCCTTTCCAAAGCAGTGCTCCTTGACGCTGCCCACGGGAGCCATTCCCGCCCCGCCGCCTAATGGCGGCGTTACACGCCGAGTGACTTCCTGACAGGAAAGCCAACAGTTGCGTTTTATCGGCGAGTCATATCACACCTAAGTCCTGAAAGAAAACATAAAACCACTTCTCCACTGTAAAGGCATTCATGTGGTGAAAAACACCTTTAGACCTGACTTCCCTTCGGGCTGTGGGTGGTCAGGCAGGGGAAGGGTGGCCAGGGAGGCTGGGCAGGCTGCGGAGACCCAGAGGCGGCTGGGCAGTCCCCGACCGGCCTGCTCCGGGCAACACGCGAAGGCCTGCTGGCTGCTGCCACAGACACAGGGCTGCAATTTAAAACAACTCCCACCCCATGTACCTGCATGGCATCCCAAGGGGTCTGTGTCCACCAGCGCTGGGTTTGGTAGCTCGGCGAGGCATCAACACGAAAGCCCTGTTGTCTCATCCTTCGTGAGGCCAGTGCTTACAGCAACACAGCATGAGAGGGAAGGGAACGTGGGGACAGGGATCTTCACTAAGGCAGCGAACCCTTACAATTCTGACAGCGACTAGGTTTTTGCTGCAGAGCTGAGAAAACTCCAAGCTACCTTGCACTTGGCAGTTACGACATCCTGCTTATGGAGCTGAAGCCAGCTGTGGCACTACCAGAACGCAAAGGGCACACCGGGCTGGAAAGCCAGCCTCCGCTCCAGCACCCAGCTTACTCCCTGGCGTGCATCCCGGCTGCTGGGATGAGCAACGGCACGGGGGGATCCGGTCCTGCGAGCACACCCTGCTATTGAGCTACACGCATAAAAAGAGAGTTCAAAGCTATTCCCATATTGCAGCACAGCCTAGCAACAAATCTGGCATAAATAACTTGCCTCATCATTATGCAGGTAAGCTATGTAATTACAAACGTCACTAGGGCTGAGGGGAGAGAAAGAATCGTGATCTCTCTGGAGGAGGGGGAAGAGGCGCCTCTTGCCACACGTCAGTCATCAACTTCAGGATGAGGCTGAAAACCCTCAAAAAATAATGACAGGAGAGGAAGTGTGGGTGGCAGATTCCCAGCAGCAAAGCCCAGCTCTCTGCTTCCCATGCACAGGCTCTCGTTGGAGGTTACGGAGACACAGCTAACTCCAACTTCATCCACATGGTGCCCTCACTGACAGGCAATCTCGGGGTCTTAATTGCCAAGCACTGCTTCTCTCTTGTAATTGTTACTGTGATCAGAATTTCAAATAGTCCCAGAGCAGCAGTTAGTCATAAAATCTATTTCTAGGAGACAGACAATCTTTCCCCATCCCCCAAAGCCCGTGTCCAGGACAGTTGGTTAATAGACTGAAGGAATTCATCGTATCCACTGGGGACCCAATTAGCAGAATGGACTTGGGTGAAGGGAAAAGGAAGAGGAAATGCCAGTCATTTCCTACGTACCATATTGAACTGCTGCTGCAGTTTTTCATTGGCATAGTTGATACAGAACTGTTCAAAGCTGTTGATTTCGAATGTCTCAAATCTGAAAGATGCAGATACTCAAAATTACTAGTGCAGTGAAAAAAAAACAGATTAAATGACCCTATAATTTTAAATTCCCTCCATTCAGTCAAATTCATTGCATTATTCCAGGCACAACACAACACAATCAAGCAACAAAGCACACAGTAGAACGGCAAATTGCAGTACGCGGGCAATTCAGTGATGGTCCCTGTTTTGGCAGGGATGAGGAACACAGGGAAGGGACTGATGTTCCTGGAGAGCATGTTAGTTATGTCTGTCCTCTCTAGAAGTGTCAACCTGGAGGAACCATAAGATCGCGATTCCCTTGTAACTCTCCCCAGTGCAATACATAAAGGAACTACCAAGAGCAAAAATATGAAATCCCACTATAAATGTCAAACCTGACAGTCAAGACAAAGATCTTAGACAGCATGTCAAAACTAAACACCTACTTCCTTCAGCTGGAATAAGCAGCTGCTAAAGGTTTAGGGTTTTTTTGTGTAATCCATGCAGTGCTACATGATAAAAACAAAGATGCTTTGCAGTAAGATAATTACGTAAGAGGTGTCATATCTCTGACAAAAAGACTCACCCATAAATGTCCAACACTCCAATGAAAGAATGCTGTTTTACAGTAGCGTGAAGGGCTTTGTTTACATGATCTACAATCCAGTTAAAGAGATTAGCATAGATATGTTTGGCGAGTGCATCTCTGGCATTGATGGCATGAAGTTTAGAAATTGGCTTGATGTAGGTTTCAGTGGCAGTTGCGAGCTTCCTATGGCAAAGCCAGTGGGCCATCTCTTCATACTCCACGCCCATGAGGTCACAGAAGATGGTGAGGGGTTCGTGCTTGGGCTAATAAAAACAATCTCATTAGGTCTTGAAACAGTATTACCAATAGCACACAGGCAGTCACATAATCAGAACTGCCTGCTTGCAGTGATCCAACGATAAGCAGTAACAGCAGCTTCCTCAGCTCTTCCTCCTTCAAAACGTAACAAGTTCCCTACCCACTTATCACATTCACATCACTGAAGTGAATTAGTGAATCACAGTTTCCCCAAAGGCATTTTACTATACTTGTGTTCACCAAAAAGCCCCCATGTGGAGGGAACCTGCAACCTTCACAAAAATGAATCACCCAGCTTTGCAAGGATGGACTTGGTATTTTGAATTCTTGTAAGTAACTGTCTCAGTTTCGAGTGAAGAAGCTCGAAAACTGCAGAGGACAGGACATCTGCTGTGTGCTGGGGACAGAATGGACTACAGCTCCTGAGTGATGCTCTCGTCTGCTCGTACACACCCACGGCAGAGAGTGACGGGCAATGGGGCATTGCAGCCCAAGCCAAAGGCGAAGAGGAAGAAGTGTGGAAGGGCTTTAGCGCTCTGGTCTCGGTATTTAAAACAGTGTTTTCTCAGTGAATTCTGGAGACAAACATTAAGATATTAGAGCATAGAAATGATGTTCTCTAACTCTCAAATTGGACTGTACAAATGAAAAAACTGACCTTTGTTTAACTGGGTAAAATCAACTAGCAAGGCTTGCACACTGAGATGGGTATATGTAAGATTTCTGCATAAAAATCAATGCAGTGTGTTTACCACTCAATGAGTTAAGATACTGCACCTTGTGACTACCAAGCAAGCAATAGCTAGAAATCAAGGAGGACAGACAGGTCTTTCCTCCCAAGGAACTCCCGTAACACTATTCCTCATCACGCTCACTTTGCACCCAGTGGCTCAGCAGCACACGGACAAGCAGCATCTTGACAAGGACAGATTACAGGGGACTGTGACTACACGCCCAGTAACTTCAGTGTACATCAGCTTTATCTTCCTGTTTCCACACCCTTCTGACTTCCCTGGGGCTTCTTCCAGTCCTTACAGCATACACAATGCTGTTACACCTCCAAAATCCAGTTAACAGAGCATGTCTTCTTTCAGTTTAGCCATAGCACTTTACCTGGCTCAGGAGATCATAATAAAGTAATAACAATAATAACGAACACTGCACAAAAGCATGTCACATTAGGGCTACTCAAGCTGACATTAAACAAACTGATGCATTCACACAGCACCACGCAGAGCTCTTCGCTGAGCTCCCTGCAGCACCACCATTGCATCACCACACCAGCGCTTCCCAGGTAGGCCAGTCTGCACAGCGACAGAGCTCTGCAATGACATGCCTATTGTCAGAGAACAGCATAGCTCAGGCAGCGGATGCCACTGAGCAGACATTCACCACTGCCTGCTAGATGATTACCATGTCAGGGTAGGACTGCATAGGAACTTGCAGCTCTGTACTAGCTCATTCAGTGGGATTCCTGCATTGGAGATACCCATCACAACACAGGCTCGCTCACCAAGTCCTGGGGCTCATCAGCTTTATACCTGTGATCACTAAATGACACTTTCTTTGTAGTGAAAATCCTTTTAAGACACTCCAAAGAGCCAGACTATCGCTGTGGTTTCACAGCAGCTATCCCTTAGATCCCACGGACAGACGGTGTCAGACCAGGCACGCTGATCATCCATGGCCCAACGAAGGACCTATTGTCTCAGCTCCAGAAACTGCTACTGCAGATTCTTGAGAAAGTGACTGATAGTAAAATGAGAAAAAAAAAACCCTGCAACTGTTGTGACTATTTTAAGAGAGAGAAAGATGAAGGCTGAGTAGTCCAGCAGTAGACGTTCAAGGAAAGGCAAAAGGAGAAACTGGTCACTTGTGAATCCATGGAAGAGGGACAAGCCAGATCTTTTTCGTTTCTCATCTCCAGAATATGGACTTCAGTGAGAAGCCTTGGTCCCCACTGAAAGTGAAGGTTTTTTTCACATCAGACTATGTAGTCCTCATTGCTGACCTCCACAAAGGTAAAAAAGGACTGATAAAACCACGACACTTAGATGAGTCACACAAATCACGTCTGTATATCCTATGCGTATGTCTAGACATCCCAGAGGACTTTGCAAAGCATTTGCTTTGCAATTATTGAGGCAATTTTGGCATTTAACATTAAAAAAAAAAATCTGCAAAGCATTTACTGTGGGCAGGGAATGTATTCATGTAGGAATATAAAGATCTAGACACCTGCCCAGGACTTCAAAGCTCGCATGTCTGGTAGACTTTTCTAGGACAGATCAATTACAGTTTTGAAATGAAATTAAGGGAGCCACTGTTATAATAGAGATAATACTGTCTGAAGTCTCTAAACTGAGAAGAGTTGAATCCATCTGCAAAAAAGAACTGTGAAAATGTTAACAAATTAGAAATAAACATATTGCTTGCATTTTTATATTGCTACTTTGCTTCAGAAGAGGTTCCTGTAAACAAGCAGAAGGCAGAACTGTCAGAGCAGAAACCATGCCCTGCAGCTCGTCTGCTACTCACAGGAATAGTGCAGCTGTCAGAATCCCGAGATGCAAACTCCACGTTGCCCAAGTGAAGGATGCCAGCAAGGATTCGAAAAATTCCCATCTGGTAGGAATCACTAATCCCTAAAAACGACGAATAAAACGTTTTGAATGGAGAGAGAAAGAAAGAATCACGAGCTGCAGTGGATGAAAAAGTCAGTGACCACTCCATATTTTTTTCAGACACTTTGGCATTTAACAGTACTGCTTGGCTCCACTTTTATTAAAAACAACTTACAACCAGATGCAAAAAAAAATCCATTAAAATTAACTATTTATTTTGCTGTTTCAGAATGCTTTGTCAGTGACCTCCAACACCATGTATCCTACACCAAGAGAATCCACCATTTATGTTCCTATAATGCCTGCTCCTCCTACACTAGGTATGTGATTCCACCGCAATTTAAATACCGTCTTAATGCATTAAAAGTATCTCAGTCCAAATTTTATCAAACTCTCCTGTTTTTAAACACAACAGAGTATGAAGAAAATACACACACACGATGTAGATAACGCTTACTAGTGTATCGGATTTGGGATATAACCGCGTTTCACAAATTACCTAGCAAAGTGCACGCCTGCCTGGTGTTTACCATTTCCTTAGCATCATCAACACCGTCAATCACAGGGCTTCCACCTTGCTTTGTATAGTGAAAGTAATTTGCATTCCCTATAAGAGAAAAAACAAACCTTTTACACACACTGATGTGGAAATTCCCAGCACATCTGTAAAGCTGCGTAATGATTAAGTTGCTCTTGGCAGAATCCAAGATTTGAAACGTGTCAGTATATTTTTGCCTTCTGGTCATAGGACCCACTTATTCTGGAGAAGAATTTTTTCAAGATTTAACAGTGCAAATAAGTATTCTTAAGCTACCTGGTTCCTACAACAGGCCCTCAAGCATATTCTCTACCTTGGTTCAGACTTCCACACCTGTGGAATAATCACTTTGGAAGCAATTATTCTCCAAGTCTGAGCCAACCACTCAAGTGGTAGGTGCAGGGCGGACAGCAGCACCACTTTCCAATTACGTGGCATATATTATTATGCCATTATTGCAGCAGGATATTTAAAAAAATTGTATCTTGCCTATTTTCGCCTTGCTTCTAATTTATGATCTGGTTTAGTCTTATGAATATCTGTGATCCATTCTGATTGAAAAGTCATGGTTGGAGAACTGGTAGCTTCGGACCACTCTGGGGACAGCACTGGGCTTCACTGGGAGAGCAGCAGCTCTCCTGGGTAGTGTGTAAATTCCTGCGGTTTCAGTGGCCATGCTTCCAGCTGCAGTAAGAGACCTCTTTTCTTCTGATCTGCTAAGGCTTCAAGCGCACTGAAAGAGGAGTCTGCTAAATGGCTGCTTTAGTTATAATTATATCAGTGCCTTTCCTTCCTGCGTCAGCAGATGTGAATCCTAAATGTGCCAGGACAGTGCAGAAGAGCAGAGAAACACTTTAAAACTAGATTGGTATTTCAGAAATCAGCACCAACAGGCCATGCAGTTTTCCCACTATGAAGCTAACTTTTAAAAATATACAAGAAACACTGAAATTTAGATCGAATTTTAAAAATGACGAGATGATTGCCTGTCCCAAGGTCATCATCATGCCTTTCTTTTACAAAGTACCAGTTCCTGTTAAACGAGAAACCTTTCCTTTACCAACATTTTAATTTGAAAAATTAAAAAATTCACTTATCAGCTTTGTGATCATCAGCTTAGCAGAGACGGCAAAGTAATTGTTGGTAACAGCCCAAGTGAAAGTATGCAGGTGCAAGATAAGATTTTCAGGTGATTATACTAGAAATTGTAAAATTCTCTGGTAGCTGGAGCCATGGGAAAAAAAGGTTTTAAAGGACCAAGAGAAGAGAATGTCACCATTGCCACCAGAAAGCTACTCTGGAATCCAGGACATAGCAAGTCCTAGTGATCATAACTGCACTGTATTAGAGAAGGCTGAATAAACAAATCTGTTACTTTCACTTTATCTGAAAAACACAAAGTCTGAAATCTGCCAGTTTAGTTATTTTCATCATATTTTAGTATTTGAAGGATTAAAAGTTTAGAATTTAAAAGCCAGCAATTCTTTTGGTTCTATGGCTCAAAAAGCTCAGAGATGCTGCTACGCACCTACAACTGCACAATACAATGAATGGGAAATTCATACCTAATCGTAGAGTTTTAAATTCAGGTAACGCTGCAGAGGCACAAAGTTGGTAAAAGATGTGGTAATTTCTCTCCTCTTCTGCCTTTAAAAAGAAAGGAATTGTTTATTTTTCACAACTTAACAAGTGCCAGAAACATCCGTGAGTAGAAAAGAATGACTACGTCTAATGCTTTCTCTAGCATTACATGAAGAGCATAGAAGCCGCACGGAAAAAGGAAAGATAGATCAGCATCTATCATTCCCTTCTTCATTAGTTTAATCCATTTTCAACAGCAAGAAGCATGCAGACATTTTAATTTCAAAAAAAATGCATGATTTCACTTTTCAGAACTGTGGATTACTATTAAATATAGATCAGGATTCTATGGGTGGGTGAAATGATCACACTTAAAAGCTTTTCATTTTCCAAAAATAACTAATACCATTTGCCTCAGCATTTATCGTAAGCTGGTGAAGGGAGTATCTTTCTTGCCAAGGCAAAGATGGAATTTTAAAATGAAGGACAAACACAGCTCAGAAGGTTATGACTCATGACAAACACCATAATTTTGAACTTAAGTGCTCCTAATTTCATAATTTCAAAACACACACAAAAAAAAAAAAAAAGGAAAAAAAGAAGAAAATACTCTCTTCCAGCAAGAAGGGTCTCATTTTAAAAATATACAACAGTACTGCACGTAACACCTCCATATACTGCAAACTGTAACTATATGTTTTATACGTTTAGGCAGCCAGTCAAGGGTAGGTTCATTTTTACTGAACATCAGACTATAAGCTAAGCAAAGATGGAGAGGAAGTGTGGGAGACAAAAGGGTTGTGGATCGCTTCAAGTATGAAATACCAAAATGAAGGGAGTTCAAGAAAGACAAAATTACATATTCTCATTTGGCTAAATAATGGCAATTAAGACTTATTCATAAGCATTGCAATAGCAGTGGGTTTTAACAAGAGATTGAAAGTGAGCTGAGATGGCAGCTTTACAAACCACAACAGAGAGCTCTTCTTGAGCATGGGTGCTTTCCTAGGTTTTGAAGCCCTATTCTATAATACTATGGTAAGCACAAACTCTTACCCAGCAGTGCACTGGAAGTATTTCATGTTTAAAAACACAGCCTTTTAATACACATTTTACAACTACGAATAATTCATATAATGAAGGGCTGACTTGGTTTTCCTTTTCTGCCCCCTCCCCACATGTGCTGTATTACAAACACATTATTACAGCCATCTCTTCGGAGAGATAACTAATATCAGCAAGAAATAGCTTTTTCTTTTAAAGCACAGTCACACAAATATGCAATAAGACGACTGCATCAGTATTACCTGAAACACCACTCTCGATTTTTCCAAGAGGTAAGTTCTCATGTTAGCACCAATGATTCGATACCTCTTATCAAAACCAATTTCAATGTATTTCCCAAAGCGACTGCTGTTGTCATTCCTCGTAGTTTTGGCATTTCCAATAGACTGAAAAAAGGGAATATTGTGACGGTTAAACAGCTTTTAGAAATTACCAAATCTATTTAATCATCTACATGGCTCATAAGCACTTAACAACATCAGTTCTGTCCTAGTTTCAAAATAATCAAGAATTTATTAAAGAGCAATCTCTGCCTGGTCAGCAAGTTACATCACTATATGGTTATTTCATTAACGCAAGATCAGGAGCTGACCTTCCTAGCAATGATTTCACCTCCACATACTCTAATTTTCCAGATAAAAATCCTTCTTTGCTCTCCGAAGTCTTTTAAAAGGAATTAAAGTCTAACAAAATGCTCACATACACCTGTATTTCTTCTAAGGACTTAATAAAACTATAACAATTATTTCACACTGTATATATTCTCATATATATCTATGTACAGATATATGTACAGTACTTGCAACCTCTGAAAATCTACCTATCATAAACCCACAGGCCAGCAAACAGTCCCTATGTTCTGTCTGGCTAACAGTTTATTATTGTTATTACTCTATAATCAACCACATCTCCAAACTACTCCTGAAAACAAATCATTATAAAGTATTTACTGTGTGCCTGAATATAATCTAAAAATTAACACGTACAGAATCATGTAATTTGCCTGAAACTGAATCCCTTCCACAGCAGCTTGGTTACTGACTCCGAGCCAGTCTTCAATGCTGCCCCACGCGCCTAACTTTCTTAGATTAATTCAATACAGCTTCATACACAATAAGCAATATTTAATGTTTCTCCTCTACAGTATGTGGTCTTGGGGTGCCAGGGCAAATGGTGACTGTGGTTCCTAAATGGTCTTAGTGCACCTCTGCCTTACCTCACCAGTGTTAGGATTCACCCCCCAACCGGTACCAGCTGGATATATCAGAATTCAAGGCACGCAAATCACAACATGCTGAACTTCAAAGAAAAGCATTTTCTCTTCCTAATTAGATCATGTTTTAGACATCATATAGCAATTCACCTTCCAAACAAATCCTAAAGCCATCTCTGTGTCAAAAGTCATGGCATCTGGAGTAATTCAGGTACAGCACACTGCCTTTCATCATACGCCACTGTGTGTCTGTTACCAAGGACCTAACTTTGAAATGCACCGTAACGGAACAACAGAGTTGTATCTATGTCCTAGTTTCCCAGTTCATGTAGCCATCCATAGGACTTTGTACTGAAATAAAACTTGGGAAAAACAATGAGAGCAAGTAGCAATGCTGAGTATTGGTATTCCCAATCTGCAAACGAAAGGCCAGTGAATTGGTACGGGCTAGCTGGGTACAGCGGGGATCAGACTTTCAGAAACCCCACTGCAGCAGGAGCAGCACGCACGCCTGACTGAGCAGATGTCAACATGGGTATCAAAGGTACAGTTGCTATAAAGGATGTAAGAACAAATTGCATCTCTGCAGTTCTAAGAAATACTAAATTCATTCAAACTAAACGTACTCAAACTGCATTTCTTGTCTTTTCAAATTATTGCTACTGTGATGTATTGTGGTGGTGATGGTAGCAATATATTACAGTATTTTCAGAAAACAATTATTAGTTTCAAAGTTATTACTTATAAAGACAGTTAAGAAAGTCTTTGGTATTATAAGATCGCTTTCCAGAGCACGTACTAAGCTGTACAATCCACAACAATTCACATAGCTATACAGGGTAACAAAGAACGAGAGGCAGGAAATTACATACAAAGATGTGTTTTAAGACTCGACAATTTCTACATTTGCAATAGGAAGACTGTATATATTTATTGACAACAAAACTAATTATTCAAATAGTTGCTAGAAATGCATAGCGGTCAGCTGATATTACAGAGTATTTAGTAGGCAAAGATGATGTGAACTTCTGACACTAACGATGGTAGCTCATAAAATGGTGATGTTTAGGTTGTCCAAATAGAAATTAAAAAATAAAATTACCTTCTGCTCCTAAGATTTTACAATTAACTTAGCAAATGAGGAGTGTCCCGTTTCTAAAATTAATTCCTCATTTTCTTCCTAATCTACATGGATTAATTTGTGTTTCTGCTGATTTATCAACTGAAGAGATCGAAACATTAATTCTACTACTCTAGAGTCTGTCTCAACACCAGATTTCACAACACTCACTCTAAAGTTTATTTAAAGTTCAAGAGTTTGAAGTTAAAAGGATAATTTTCATCCAATTATTACAATGTTTAAAGTAATTGAAATTTTAGATATACTCAGGTTCATGAAATCGTTGTTATCCCTAGAAAATAAAGACCACCGTTGGGGTTTTTTTAGATAAAAGAAGGCATGGATGGAAAGTTCATTTCTAGTCCTCAATTCAAATTTCCTTGCTTTGGAAATTAAATCAGACAACTAGTGGTGAGCTGATGGCCACCGACTGGGAGGTGGGCTCCAAGGAGTGAGAGAGAAGGATGTTTGGTTTGGGCTTTGAGACCAAACAGACGTGGCACAGGGAAAGCTGTAGACAGTTGATATTTTGCCCAGCAAACAAATAGCAAACTACAGACCCATCCTGCAGAGCCTCTTACGGCAGCTGCCAC